GGCCCTCTGCAGCCTGTTCCAGTGGCCAGGTGGGCCCTCTGGCTTCCTGGGGGGGTCGTGTTATGTCACGAGCTACAAACACACTTCCTCAGCGGCCCAGCCAAGGATGCTCCGCTTCTCTGTGCAGCTCAGCCTGGCTGCTGGCTGGCCCACAGCACTGTCACCACTAGTGTCTGCTCAAAGAAAACCCTCCTTCCCGCCAGGCACTGACGGTAAGCCAGGGTGCCTCCATTTTCCCTTGTGCAACTGACTGCTGGACCTCAGAGCTGGCCTTTGCGGGCGCCTCTTTTCAGTAAGAACTGGAAAGAGCCTTTTGCATCCTGCGCCTGTCACCCAGGAGGGTGGCACTTCTCCCTGCTTTGTCTCATCCACCAAGGTGACCAGCCTTCTTCGCCCCAGCCACTGACGGGTGTGCAGAAGGCACAAAACTCCCAGGCACACCTGGAGAGCCCGCCCTCCTCCAGACTTTGAACTGTGAATCCACACCCCCTGGGTAATGCGATGATCCCAAAGGTGCAGGAATGGGACAGCCCCGAAATCCCCCTCTACCCTCCCCTCACAGCCAGAGCAGCTGGTGGCTGGGGTGGTGTAACCCCTGGGTGACAGCAGGACGCTCATCCCTCCAGAGACTCTAGAAAGAACCCAGCCTCCACCAACCGCTAGCTGTTGGCAGTGCTGGACTTTGGCCGCACTGAGGTTTCAGGTGGGCCTGAATTCTGGGGAAACACTCTTCAATGTAGTGCAGGGTCCCCAAGGAATGGTGACAGATCAGACCATGGAGTGTGGTGGCCAACAGGCTACAGGGCTCAGGAGGAAGCTAAGGGACAGAGGTCGCCAGAGCAGAGCAGGGTGGGATGGGGTGCTGTGGTCCCTGAGGGTGTGGCAGGTAGCTGTTTGGTGAGGGACTTGCCTTCTGGGGTTTCCTGACCCCGCAGCCCTGCCATGACTGTCTAAGACAGCTGCTTCTGTCCTTGGCACACATCCACCAAGGTACTGTTCTGTTCGGTAGCCTTTACCAGAGGTGACTGTTACGAGCCATGTTGCTGGAGACAAGATACACAGCAGCTGTTGATCTAACACACTCTTGACCTTGGAGCCACTGCATGTCTGCTTTTCTGAAAGCCAGAGGCATCTGGGGGGGGGGGGTGGCCGACTCCTTCCAGCTCCTCCCCGTCCTCCCAGTTCTGACTGCTGGGCAGCACTGCCCAGTGACTCTGGGAAAGGACCGGCCACTCCCACCCCCACCCCAGAAGCTGTGATCCTTTTCCAAGGGGTCCCACCCCTTCCTTTCTCTCCCTTCTCCAGCCCCAGATGTGGGGCCCACAGGGAGGAGGCTGGACCCTATCTGCACTCGGAAAATCCACATAACGGGGCTGAAAGGACAATTGAACCCCGCTTCCCCCTTCCCCAGGTGGCTGACATCAAACACCATTCTCCATCATTAACTGGAACCGTTTCGGGAGCCAGCGCTGGGATGGGTCTGGGGGTAGGGGGTGGAGGACATCCGTGGGGGAGGTGCTCAGGGTCTTGGCTGAACCCAGCCAGAGGCGGGGGTCTCTCCCACAGAAGATGAGGCCACTTTGCATCTGCCAGACAGGAAATCTAGAGGCCAGGGGCAGGGGAGGCAGGCAGACAGTCTGGCCCTCCCTGCCTAGAAGGGAGTTTGCACACCTGGATGGCGGCAGCAGGAAGGCCGTGCGAGGGTCAGGCTTTCTGTTCACAGGAAGGAAGACACCACTTCCATGCAACCATTTTGTCGCCCTTCCCGGTGACAGGCGTGCCACCTGTCAGGAAGGATAGAAGATGCTGCCAGGACAAGATAACCCTGACAGGCAGGAGCGAAACAAGTGTGTGGCACGGGGGAGAGACGGAGAGGAGGCAGCCCCCCCCTTCCCTGGGGCCTCCTGGGCTCGTAGGAATGGCACTGCCCGGGCCTGGGGGATGCCCCGCTGCAGGGGCAGCTCCTCTCTGCTCCTTGCACTTCTCAGAATCCCAGCAGTGTCCTTCCCTCTCCAGGGCCCTTCCGACCCACCCGGCAAGTGTCTTTCCTTTTCATCAAGGGCCCACGCATGACAGCACCGAGAGCCACTAAACCCTTCGTTTAGTTCCCTTAAAAGAGACAGAAACAGGAAGCACTGCACCTGCCAGCTCTCTGGCACGTCTGGCACGAGCCCTTCCCTCCTCTCACTCAGAGCACAGCCCCTGAGCCAGCTCACGGTGGCACCGGCCTGGCTACAAGCTCCCAACTCTCCCACCTGGCTCCTTTCTTTTATGCGCACCCAGCTGCACTGCTCTGCCCTGCGGGCCGCTGTTTGGGGGTTCTGTGTTGCGAGGCTCTTTGCTGGGTCTCGCTCTCTCCGAAACACAAACATCAGAGTGCTCAAAGCCGGCTCAGCATTGTGATTATCCCCACACCATCAAGCAAGGTTACGGTCAGATTCGGAGTAGCCCTTACTGCTGGGCACAAGCCAGGCTTTTCCTGGGGTGGGTAGATGTTTAGGCTCAAGGTGAGGGCCTGGGAGAGTCCAGAAATCATGGCAACTGGACCCTGAAAAGCCTGGTGAGCTTCCATTAAGTAAGGTTGCTGAGAAGCCCCTTAAAATTGTGTACCACTAGGCCCTCCCTGGTGGCGCAGCGGTTAAAGCGCAGCACTAAAAAGCTAAAGCCACTTCAGCATGAGTTCCACCCCCACCCCGGAGGTGACCCACATGGCATGGCAGACCTCTCCTGATCTGCCTGCTGCGCCCCTCAGCAGTGGGCTTCATCAGCCAGCCTGATCTGCTCCCCTCTCTGTCTCTGGTGAATCCTCTCATTGCCCCTGCACCTCTGGCCTGTACCCCAGTTCTGTGTGCATAAAT